TGAGCCATCTCCCCGGCCCCTAAAAAAATTTTTTTGAGACAGGAGCTAAGTAAGTTATATAGGTTCCTGCCTCAGCCTCCTAAAATATCTCCATCTGCCTACCCCACCAAGCTAAATCCATTTATTATTCATTATCCTCCAAATATATACCAAATCTATCCATTTTCCCCTCAATTTCATTGCCAAGATATCATAACTTAACTGGAATATCATAACTTAACTGGAATATCGTAACTCAACTGGAATACTATAACAGCTCTTGACTGGATTCCCTCACATTTAGCTTAGTAATATTATAGACAGGTAAATTAGTTACAAATATAGTAGGCAGCCAGACAGGACTGGGCCCTCAAGGGAATCAGTGCATAAGAGAGAATGCACCAAAGCTGCCTACAGGCCCATCACAAGAAGATTAGTCACAAGGTATAGATTTACATACTTCTTCAAGGGATAAAGTTGAGATCATAGATAGGGTCTGCCCCAGTACAAACTGCTAAATTATCATGGCCCTGATTCAACATGGCTGAATCCCCAAAACAATAGCTTACCTTCCCAATGACCCCCTTCCTCCTTCTCCCCTACTCCAGCCCTGGATACACCTTCCTTTTACCTTTCCAGCACACACAAGGAAGTCTCCAATCACCTCCTTGTATGTCACTAAACCTGCCTCACAAACTCTGCCTTAACAAAAGTCCATAGTCTCATCCTCCCTGTCGCAAGTCAGAGGATCTCCCATCTCCCTGCCCTCAATCCTCTCCATGTTTTCAGAGTTAATAAAGGCTCCCCCACACCTTTATTTCTGCTTCTCTACCACTGCCAAAAACCTAACAACAGGCATTACTCCCTTTGAGATTTCCTATTATCTCATTAGGTAGGGCCTGTATTCTCCCACCCATGAAGATTTAAGACAGGACTATAAGTTACAGATTATGGACCAAGATTAATGATGTCATCCATATATCCTTGTTACCAGTAAATCAGTCTACCCAACCAACTGTACTTACAATCTTAGTAGCCAATCATAATTTCGAACATGTGTGCACGTCTTGTGATTTTACTCTATAAAACTTCCTTTGAGAAGCACGCTCATTGGTAACCCACTTTCTGAGTTCCCTACTGTCTTTTTCAGAAGCTGTCTGTCCCTCAATAAAATTTCCTACTCTTAACCTCTGTTGTTCCTCAAAATTCACTGTTTGATTTTAAGTACAAATGCCACATCAGACATCTAGTATAGGGTAGTTATAAAATTTTTCTTGTTTCACTTGGAGTTCCTATCTCAGTATTACCTGGCCTCAAATATAAGTCGTAATTATTCTCTGCTCAATTTAATTTTGTCTCTCCACAGAACCATTCCATAAGAATCTGTGCATAAGGTTAAAGCCAAGATTATCTTGATTATTTATTGCTTTACTTCAAGTAGCATAGATCTAATATCTAATATAGTTACATACAAAGGAGCTGAGTTCCTCTCTTTCTTTCATTCAAGTGTAAACTTTATATTACATTAATGATTATTCATGTTTCCATAATCCTAAAACAGGGAAGTTGTGTAAGATGCTTCCCTTCTCTCTACTCAACCATAAACCTAACACCACCCAAAACTTATCCAGTTTTAATGTTAGAAGGTCCCTAACATTGCTGGCATCAGTGAGAGAGACAATGGAAACCAAGTTAAGTCAGTGGTGTCTGGCCCTATAAATACTGGAAGCCTGGATTATTGAGTCCCTTTTTCCTTTTATCCTCAAGTTTCTTTTTCCCTTTTTTGCCCTTCATACTTCTGCATGTTCCTACTGCTACCCCCACAGCAATAAACACAGCTACTTCTTACTACACACAACAAGGTGTATACTTGGCAGTTCTTTCTTTGTCCTACACACAAAATCCTCAACTACTCTGGGTCTGCTCAACTGTAACACATGTACCTGATCAGCAGAAATAAGAAAATCAAAACACATACATAGTTACTATACACCAGGCACTACTTCAGTGCTTTACATATATTAAACAATTTAATCCTAACAAAAGCCTCTAAGGTAGGTATTTGGCTGGTTGTTTTTTGTTTTTTGTTTTTTTTGAGATAGGGTCGTAGTTCAGGCTAGTCTCCATAGACTAGGTTTATTACTGAGATTATAGGCCTGTGCCCATCACACCGAGCTTTAAAGTAGGTATTGTTATTATCTTAATGTTCAGCCAAGGAAACTGAAAAGAAAGGTAAACCAATTTGTCCAAGGTCACACAATAGAAATCAGCACAACCTAAAATGAAACTGATTCCAGGTCCCACCTCATGATTATCTATTACTTCTCTTAATGCTCAAAAAGAAATTTCTGGACCAAACAAATGACAGAGAATACACACATGAGGAATTGATTAGATACACAGACAAACAGATTTGGTGCATACCTCAGCTTGATGGCTCATGCATCTAATCCTAGTGCTTGGGAGGCTAAGGAGGGAGAATCAATACAAGTCTGAGGCCAGCCTGGGTAGTGAAACCATTTCAAAAACAAAATACAAAAAAATGAAAAAGTTGTATTGAGATCCTCAGAACATCAAAAAAGAAATAAAAGATATTGAAAGATCAGGATATATAGCTCAGTGGTATAGTATAGTACATGCCTAGAATGAATGAGGCACTGGGTTTAATCCTTAACAACACACACAGTTGGTATTTATTCATTAACATTCACTAACTATTGTTTTTTGAGACTCTGTATAGCTGTGTAATTCAGACTGGCCTTGGAACTCATTATGTAGCCCAGGCTGGCCTCAAACTCAATCCTCCTGCCTCAGTCCTCCTGCCTCACCCTCCTGAGTGCTGGGATGACATATGTGTGCCATCACACCTACCATATTAAGTTTAAAAACATTACTAAAAAGCAAAGAAAATGATTCCATAAAAACACGTCATTATTTAGGAAGAGACATCTATAAATACAACAGTACTTTGAGTGGATAATAGCACTGTAGGTCACATTGATTTTTCTTTTACACTTTCCCATACTTTAAGTATACTATGTGTTATGTACATGGTAAGGAACAGTTTAAAGGAGGAAACAGTTGCCACCTTTGTTGTTAAAATCTTGGGATAAAATTTTATGTTTCTTTTTGACATGTGTCTAGCACATATTAGGGAGACTAATAAATATTTGAAAGACAGGGTTAGGAATGGTTATGAGTTCAGGAATCAGACAACATGGATAAAAATCTCCAAATTGTACTGATTAGGGGTCTTTGGTGTTCAAGGGTCATTTAACTTCACTGAGCCCCAATTTCTTCAAATGTAAGAAAAAATTCGGTTGCGGGTATACCTCATGATACAACACACGCTTAACATGTGCCAAGATCTGGGTTTGATATCCAGCAACAAATAAATAAATAATAATACAGTTTGAGGAAAGAAAAAATGTACTAAATACATGAAATGATAAAATGAAGGCCATCTTTAGTATGTATTTACTTAATTTATGCTGAAATTGCTTATGAAAAAAGGAAAACAAAACTAAGTTTCTATTTATGCTGAAATTGCTTATGAAAAGAGGAAAACAAAACTAAGTTTCCAGGCAAGACTATGTTGATAAATTATCCTGGAAAGGAACTCTTACTGGGGCTGGGGATTTAGCTCAGGGACACTCACCTGCCTAGCAAGCCTGAGTGAGGTCCAGAGTCTGATTCCTAATACCCGCTCTAGCCACCACCACCCCCAAAAGAACTTTTCTTGAGCATGGTAGAGGCCCTAGGATCAATTCCTACCACACACACACACACACACACACACACACACACACATTTTCTCTCTCTCTCTCTCTCTCTCTCTC